TAAAGAGTCAGATTATGTGCGATAAGGTAAATAATCTAAAGGGAAACAGCCCAGATTAAGATATAAAGTTCCTAATAAATAATAAGTGAAATAAATATTAAAATATTATAATATAATCAGTTAATGGGTTTGACAATAACCACTTTTTAATGAACATGTAACAATGCACTGATTTATAATAAAAAAAATAATATTTAAAATCAAATATATGTATATAATATATTTATATTTGTTAATAGATAATATACGGATCTTAATAATAAGAATTATTTAACTGAATATCTAAATATTATTATTAATCTAAATAATAATAATAATATGGTAATAGAACATTTAATGAAAAAATATATTAGTTATTAATTAATATATATAATAATTAGATAGAGAATGCTGACATGAGTAACGAAAAAAAGGTATAAACCTTTTCACCTAAAACATAAGGTTTAACTATAAAAGTACGGCCCCTAATAAAAATATGAATAAAAATATATTAAAGATGGGTTAATCTATATTAATAAAATAATATCTTAAAATATAAATATTAAAACATTTATAATTATAAAAATATATATATTAATATATATATAATTATATAAACTAATAAAGATCAGGAAAAGTGTTAGTGTATACCGTAATGTAGACCGACTCAGGTATGTAAGTAGAGAATATGAAGGTGAATTAGATAATTAAAGGGAAGGAACTCGGCAAAAACAGCTCTAAAGTTAGTCAATAAAGAGTAATAAGAACAAAGTTGTACAACTGTTTACTAAAAACACCGCACTTTGCAGAAACGATAAGTTTAAGTATAAGGTGTGAACTCTGCTCCATGCTTAATATATAAATTATATGGTTTAACGATTATATAATTAAATTTAGGTAAATAGCAGCCTTATTATGAGGGTTATAATGTAGCGAAATTCCTTGGCCTATAATTGAGGTCCCGCATGAATGACGTAATGATACAACAACTGTCTCCCCTTTAAGCTAAGTGAAATTGAAATCGTAGTGAAGATGCTATGTACCTTCAGCAAGACGGAAAGACCCTATGCAGCTTTACTGTAATTAGATAGATCGAATTATTGTTTATTATATTCAGCATATTAAGTAATCCTATAAATATATAATAAAAAATATATTTATAAGTAATCGTTTAGATATTAATGAGATACTTATTATAATTTAATGATAATTCTAATCTTATAAAAAATAAAAATAATATAATATAATTATTATATTAAACTTAATAGATATATAATTCTTAAGTAATATATTATATATATATATTAATTTATATATTATAATATAAATAAGAGACAATCTCTAATTGGTAGTTTTGATGGGGCGTCATTATCAGCAAAAGTATCTGAATAAGTCCATAAATGAATATATAAAATTATTGAATAAAAGAATGATATATATTATATATATTAATTATAAATTTAAATATATTTATATTAATAATTTAATTATAAATTGAATATATTTAAGTAATAGATAAAAATATGTACAGTAAAATTGTAAGGAAAACAATAATAAATTCTATTATAATATAGAAAATCAATTAAATAATATAATGGTATAACTGTGCGATAATTGTAACACAAACAAGTGAAACAAGTACGTAAGTATGGCATAATGAACAAATAACACTAATTGTAAAGGTTATTGATAACGAATAAAAGTTACGCTAGGGATAACAGGGTAATATAACGAAAGAGTAGATATTGTAAGTTATGTTTGCCACCTCGATGTCGACTCAACATTTCCTCTTGGTTGTAAAAGCTAAGAAGGGTTTGACTGTTCGTCAATTAAAATGTTACGTGAGTTGGGTTAAATACGATGTGAATCAGTATGGTTCCTATCTGCTGAAGGAAATATTATCAAATTAAATCTCATTATTAGTACGCAAGGACCATAATGAATCAACCCATGGTGTATCTATTGATAATTCTATAATATATATCTTAATTAATTAATTAATTTCTATATATATTATCTATATTAGTTTATATTATAATTAATTGTCATAGTAGATAAGCTAAGTTGATAATAAATAAATATTGAATACATATTAAATATGAAGTTGTTTTAATAAGATAATTATCTGATAATTTAATACTAAAATTTAAATATTATTCATATATATTCTATATATTTGTTTAATTAATAGGTTTTATATATTATTTATATATTTAATATATAATATTAATAAAATACTAATTTATCAGTTATCTATATAATATCTAATCTATTATTCTATACCCCCCCCACCCTTTTTACTACTAATTATTTAATAATATAATTATATTAATATATTCATAAATTCTTATTTATATAATCATATAATATGATTTATAGTATATAATCTATATATATTTTTAATATTTAGCCCCAATTAAATTAAATTAAATTAAATTAAATTGGGCCCCCTATTTATATATAATAAATGATAAATAATCATAAAATAATAATTAACTATTTATATATAATAAATGATAAATAATCATAAAATAATAATTTACTTAGGGGGGCCCAATTGAATTGGGACCCCACAAGGAGTTATAATAAATAATTTATATGTCTTTTTAATATTAATTCTTTACTTTAATTATATAATATAATATAATGAGTATTTTAATATATTATTATAATATATAAAATCTTATAAAATAATAAATATATATCCTTCATGAGTATTTTATCTTTTAATTTAATAATTATAATATTATTTATAATATAATATACATTCTATATAATAAATATATAATAATTTATATATGAGATTAAATAATTTAAAGATATATTTATATATATTAATTAATATGTAATAATATTAATAGAATTTTTATTTAGCCCTAATTCCTATTTATTAATAATAAATAATAAATTATCATAAATAATAATTTATTGACGGGACCGGGATCCCGAGAGGAGGATTAATTATATAGTTATATTAGCTCAATTGGTAGAGCATTCGTTTTGTAATCGAAAGGTTTGGGGTTCAAATCCCTAATATAACAACAAATAATAATAAATAATGATAATAAATGTATAATATGATTTATTAATTAATAATCTATATCATTATATATATAATAATATAAAATATTAAATCTTAATAATATATTCCTCCTTTAAATATATATATTCAATTAAAACTATATCTAAAATATATATAATATTTATATAAAACATCTTTATATATTCTTAATAAAATATAAAGAATTAAATAATATAATATAAATAAATAATTAACAATATAATATAATATAATATAAATAAATAATTAACAATATAATATATTTAATAAAAGAATATAATAAGATCATATTAATTAATATATTATAAGAGATTATAAATAATATATAAATAAAGTTAGGTTATATTTTATTGAATACATAAGAAGGAGGTGTTGTTTTAAGGTTAAACTATTAGATTGCAAATCTACTTATTAAGAGTTCGATTCTCTTCATCTCTTTATAAATATATAAATAATATAAAAATATAATAATATGTATATTAATTAATTAATTAATTAATAAATAAAGGTGAATATATTTCAATGGTAGAAAATACGCTTGTGGTGCGTTAAATCTGAGTTCGATTCTCAGTATTCACCCTATAAATAATATAAATATGAATATCTCCTAGTGGGATTATAAAAAATATATATAAAATAATATAATATACTCCTAGTTTTTATATAAAAAATAATATTAATAATATCATTCATTCATTCATTTATTCATTCATTCATTCATTTATTCTATATATTATAAATTAATAATCTTCTTTTTAATAAATTTAGATAATTTTAATTAAGTTTGTATATAGATTTATATAAAAATGTATTATAAGTAATAATATATATAATCTTATAAGTATAAAAATATAATAAAAATATATATATAATATATTTAATAAATATTTAATTATAGCCCCGGGCCCCGGGAGGCCCGGGACACCGCAAGGAGTTAATTTAATTTATTAAAGATATGTAATACTAAATAATAAGCTATTTTGGTGGAATTGGTAGACACGATACTCTTAAGATGTATTACTTTACAGTATGAAGGTTCAAGTCCTTTAAATAGCAATAATATATATAATAATAAATAATATATATATATTAATGAGTCGTAGACTAATAGGTAAGTTACCAAAATTTGAGTTTGGAGTTTGTTTGTTCGAATCAAACCGATTCAATATAAATGATAATAATAATTAATAATTAATAATTAAATATATGATTGATTAATTAATATATATTTAATCATAATAAATGATTAATATAATTTATTAATACTCCTTCGGGGTCCCAATTAAATTGAGGCCATTCGGCCCCGGGGCTAATAAATAATTTATCTTTATTAATATACTTATTAAGTTATAGACTAATATAAATAATATAGAGTCATATAATATATATAATGAATACTCCTTGCGGGGTCCCAATTCAATTGGGCCCCCCTATTTATATATAATAAATGATAAATAATCATAAAATAATAATTAACTATTTATATATAATAAATGATAAATAATCATAAAATAATAATTTACTTAGGGGGGTCCGGGGCTCCTTACGGGGCTATAATATAATATAATATCATAAAATATATTAAATTACATATATATATATATAATATAAGTTTATCATAATAATAAATATTTTATAAAAAATTATATATAATAATAATAATACTTATACTTAAAAATAAATAATTAACAATATAAGACTTTATTAATGAATATTAATTAATTAATTAATAATGAATATATATATATAAAGATATAACAATATGTATAATAAATAATATAATACCTTTTAATGGGGCTATAAAGTATATTTATATATTAAATAGATATTTATATATAAAGGTATATATAGAGAATATTGTTTAATGGTAAAACAGTTATCTTTTAAGTAACCCATGCTTGGTTCAACTCCAGCTATTCTCATAATTCATAAATAATATAATATAATATTAATTAAATAAGCTCTCTTAGCTTAATGGTTAAAGCATAATACTTCTAATATTAATATTCCATGTTCAAATCATGGAGAGAGTAATAAATATATAATAATAAATAATAGATATAAGTTAATTGGTAAACTGGATGTCTTCCAAACATTGAATGCGAGTTCGATTCTCGCTATCTATAAAATAATATATATTTATTTAATATAAATATTATTATAAAGGATCTGTAGCTTAATAGTAAAGTACCATTTTGTCATAATGGAGGATGTCAGTGCAAATCTGATTAGATTCGTTAATAATTAATACATTGATTTAAATAATATTAATCATTAATACATTTATTCTATATGTTATATATTTAATATATTGTATATATATATATATCCTTATAAATACTTTAATAATATTAACGAATTAATATTTTTAATATAATTATAATATAGTATAATATTCTCTTTAATACTCTAATTATAATAAACATATATAAATATTTTATAATAAACTAATATAATCAATATTTTTAATTATTTAATTCTATATTTAATATCTTTTATAATATTATTTAATTCATATATATAATATGATAATATATATCATATTAATAATAATAATAATTAATGAAATCTATTATACCTTTTTATATTAATAGAATAAACTCCTTGCGGGGTCACGGGCCCGTCCGGGCCCGGGGCTAAGATAAAATAAGATAAATAAGATAAGATAAATAAGATAAGATAAGATAAGATAAGATCATATATTTATATAATAATTTATAAATATATATTTTTTATATATTAATATATATATTAATTAGGAAAATTAACTATAGGTAAAGTAGATTATTTGCTAAGTAATTGAATTGTAAATTCTTATGAGTTCGAATCTCATATTTTCCGTTTATATCCTTAATTTAATGGTAAAATATTAGAATACGAATCTAATTATATAGGTTCAAATCCTATAGGATATTATATATATAATCATATATACTATACTTAATAATTATTCATATATAATAATACAATATAATATATAATAATTTATTCATATATATACAATAAAATATAATAAATTATTATATATAATAATAAAGAAATAAAGAAATATTAATGTTTTATAAAAAATATATAGATATTATACTATTAATGTTTTAATAATATTATATATAAATATATAGTCCGGCCCGCCCCCCATTAAGTAAATTATTATTTCTGATTATTTCTCCTACGGACTAATTTATTATATATAAATAGGGGGGGGGCGGACGCCAATTGTAGGAGATATTATACTATTAATATTTTAATAATGTTATAATAATCTATTAAAGAGAGTTATTATAAGTAATAATGTATAGTGTTAATATTATTCTAAATAATATCTAATAATATATAATATACATTCTTCTTTATTTAATTAAATTTATTAATTAATAATATATTTAATAATAATAAATAAGATTATATAATTTAAGTATTAGGGGTTATAGTTCAATTTGGTAGAACGACTGCGTTGCATGCATTTAATATGAGTTCAAGTCTCATTAACTCCAATAATATATATAAATATAATTATAAAGATAATATAAATATTAATATAATATAATATATTAATATTAATATAATATATACATATGTAGATATAATAGAAACTATAATTCAATTGGTTAGAATAGTATTTTGATAAGGTACAAATATAGGTTCAATCCCTGTTAGTTTCATTAAATATAATAATATATATTCAATAATTACAATATTATAATAATATATATTCAATAATTACAATATTATAATAATATAATCTAATATAATATAATTTTATACAATATTATTAATAGATATCTAATACAATATTATTAATAGATATCTAATACAATATTTATTAATAGTTATATAATTTAATATAATATAATACAATATTTAATATTTATTAATAGAGAGAGATAATATATATAATTTATATATAATATAATGTATATTTAATAATTTATAATAATAATAGTAATATATAATATATTAAAATATAAATATATATGATATGTCCTTATTTTATATTTTAATATATCTTAAAGTATATTCTAATAATAACAATATATTTAAATGATAAATATATCATAATAATAATTAAGAAGTTATATATATATTTAATAAATAATATATAATATATATAATATATAATATATAATATATTTATATAGGAGGGATTTTCAATGTTGGTAGTTGGAGTTGAGCTGTAAACTCAATGATTTAGATCTTCATAGGTTCAATTCCTATTCCCTTCATAAATTAATAAAATATAATAAATAATAATTACTCTTACGGGGTCCCGATCCCCAGGGGTGGGGGACCGAGGCTAAAATAATATAATAAAATAATATATATATAATAATTCTTAGATTTTATATTAATATAACTTTATTTAATAATATATGTCCTTATAGCTTATCGGTTAAAGCATCTCACTGTTAATGAGAATAGATGGGTTCAATTCCTATTGGGGACGATAATATCTATATATAATATAATACAATATATAATACAATATATAATAATAATTAACTCCTAGGTACCAATTGGGCCCCCCCGGGGGGCCCGGGACTCCTTGTGGGGCTATTTAAATATAATAATATATTAAAATATTTTAAGAAGATATAAATTATTAATAATATATAGATATAATAGCTTGTATAGTTTAATTGGTTAAAACATTTGTCTCATAAATAAATAATGTAAGGTTCAATTCCTTCTACAAGTAATATAAATAAATATAATAAATATAATATAAATAAAATAATAAATAATATTGTTATAAATAAATAATATTGTTATATATAAATAATATTGTTATTAATAGATAATATATAAGATATATTAATAATCTACTTTTTGTATTCGGGTCCTTAGGACCCGATACTAATAATATTCTTCTAAATATATAATAGAATATATAATAAATATTTAATAATTAAATAATAAATAGTTAATAGAATATATAATAAAATATATAAATAAATATTTAATAAAATAGAATAATCTTCTTCTATAACTAATAAATATACTTATAAATAGACTAATAAATATACTAATAAATATACTTATAAAATAAACTAATAAATATACTAATAATATATTTATAAATATACTAATAAATAGGCTTATAAATATACTAATAATATATTTTTAAAGATATATAAAAAAAGAGTATATAAAAAATAAGATATAATAATATAGTTATAATATAATAATAATATAATAATTATAATAATATTAGGTATTATAAATATATTAAGTTAGATTAAATTATTAATATGATATTTATGTAATATATTAAGAGATAAATCTTAATATGATATTAATATTTTAGGTTTAAGTATTAATATTTTTTTTTTATTTTTATAAGTAGAATTAACATATTAAAAATAGACAATAAAGTCTAAAGGTTAAAAAAGATTTATGTTAGATTTATTAAGATTACAATTAACAACAGTCATTATAAATGACGTACCAACACCATATGCATGTTATTTTCAGGATTCAGCAACACCAAATCAAGAAGGTATTTTAGAATTACATGATAATATTATGTTTTATTTATTTGTTATTTTAGGTTTAGTATCTTGAATGTTATATACAATTGTTAGAACATATTCTAATAATCCTATTGCATATAAATATATTAAACATGGACAAACAATTGAAGTTATTTGAACTATTTTTCCAGCAGTAGTTTTATTAATTATTGCTTTTCCATCATTTATTTTATTATATTTATGTGATGAAGTTATTTCACCAGCTATAACTATTAAAGCTATTGGATATCAATGATATTGAAAATATGAATATTCTGATTTTATTAATGATAGTGGTGAAACAGTAGAATTTGAATCATATGTTATTCCTGATGATTTATTAGAAGAAGGACAATTAAGATTATTAGATACTGATACTTCTATCGTAGTACCTGTAGATACACATATTAGATTTGTAGTAACAGCTGCAGATGTTATTCATGATTTTGCTATTCCTAGTTTAGGTATTAAAGTGGATGCTACTCCTGGAAGATTAAACCAAGTTTCCGCATTAATTCAAAGAGAAGGTGTTTTCTATGGTAATTGCTCAGAATTATGTGGAACTGGCCATGCTAATATGCCGATTAAAATTGAGGCCGTATCATTACCCAAATTTTTAGAGTGATTAAATGAACAATAATTAATATTTATTTATTATTATTAATTATTAATAATAAAATAATTTTTAGAGAGATAGATAATTCTGATTATAATAATATTCTTACATTAAATAAGAATAATGTATTATCTTCTAATCCTTTCATTAAACTTAATTGAGTTAACTCTAATATTATTAAAAGAAGTTATCATAATAATACTTCTTTAAATAATAAATTACTTATTGTTAAAAAAGATACAAATGATAGTGTAAATAAAATAAGTAATTTAGAGATAGATAATTTTTATAAATGATTAGTAGGTTTTACAAATGGAGATGGTTCTTTTTATATAAAAAAATCTAGAATATGGTTTTAAATTAATATATGGTTTCCATTTACATAAAGATGATTTACAATGTTTAGAAAATATTAAAAATAATTTAAACATACTTAATAATATTAGTATTAGAGAACTATCAGTTCAATTAACAGTATCTAATAAACAATGAATATATGATAATTTATTACCAATTTTTGATAAATATCCTTGTATAACTATTAAATATTATAGTTATATAAAATGAAGAGAAGTATTAATCAAAAGTATAAATAATGTATCAAGTAAAGAATTAATTAAAAATAAACTATTAATTAATAATTATGAAATTATTGATAATATAGAAATTCCATATAATAATATAAATGATCATTGAATTTTAGGTTTTTTAGAAGCTAAGGGTTCATTTATGATTAATAATATAAGAAATTCTTGTAGATTATTTATTTCACAACATGAACAAAGTAATAAAACATTAGAAGTAATTAAAGATTATATTTTAACTAATTGAAAACCTATTGATAGTACACCTATATTTATTAAATAAGATTTATTAAATAATTGAGATAATATAATTCAGTTATCTAAACTTAATAAATGTAATGTTATTAATTTAGCAATAAGTAATCTATATTTTTTATATTATGTTATTATTCCTAAATTTAATAATATAAATTGATATACTATTAAATATAATAGTTTTATAAATTGACAGTCTATTATTAATATTTATATTAAAGGTTTACATAAAATTAATAATAATAATGTTATTCAAGAATATATTGAACATCTTATAAATTTAAATAAAAAAGGTGCTAATAAAATTAATTATAATATTGAATTATATAATAAAATTATTAATAATAATAAACCATTATATAATATGAATTTATCATATAAACTTAATAGTTTAAATTATAAAACTAATAAGTTTATTGGTGTAGGAGTATATGTATATGATTTAAATAATCTATTTATTATAAGATTCTCTGGACTTATTAATGTCGGTTTACATTTTAATTGCTCAAAACACATGATTGCTAAATATGTTAAAAACGGTAATGTATTTATAAATAAATATATTTTACTAAATATTTATAAAGATATCTTCTAAATTAATTATTTTATTTACAGATTATAATAATATTATTATATTGACTATAATTATTATAATATAATTTTTATTCATTAGCCCCGGTCCACTAATACTAGTGGACCGGGACTCCGAAGGAGTAATATAATATTTCTTAAATAAATTATATATATTAATTAAATTAATTTTATGAAAAATATATAACTAATATTATAATATTCTTTAATATATAAAGAATATTATAATGGTTAATTAATAGTAGTTAATTAAATAAATAAATAAATAAATAATAAGTTTTATTACCTAATTAATAATAATTATATTACCTAATTAAATTAATAATAGTTTATATTATCTAATTATATTAATAATTGTTAATATTATATAATTAAATTAATAATTGTTTATATTATTTAATAAATAATAGTTAATAATATCTAATGATATTACAATATAATATATTATAATATAACATAATATTTTTATTAATATTTATTATAACATAATAATATATTCATTGTTTATTATAAATCAAATTATTAGGATTATACTATTATAAATATAAATTTGTATTATCTTATTTTTATATTAATTATTTAATAGTTATTATCTTAATTTATTTTTATATATTTTAATTTTATAAAATAATAATAAATTTAATTATTAAACTTAATCTTAAATAATATAATTTTATTTTATTGTTATTTATTATTTACAAATAATAATAATAATATTCATTAATTATAATGATATACTTTTTATTCATTAGCCCCGGTCCACTAATACTAGTGGACCGGGACTCCGAAGGAGTAATATATATACTTCTTAATAAATTATATATATTAATTAATTTAATTAAATGAAAAAGATATAGATAGTATTATAATATTCTTTATATATTAAAGAATATTATAATGGTTAAATAAATAATAGTTAATTATACCTTACTATATTTTAATATAATAAAAATAAATCTCCTATATTATATAATTCTTTAATAGTTTATTACTTTAATATATTTATTAATAATTTTTTATAAACTTAAATATTTTTATTTTATATAATAAGAATATATAAATATATATACATATAGAAATGAATATTTTAGATTTTATTAATATTATCTTAGTTATAATCATATATTTTTTATATAAGTAATAATAAGTATAATATATATTATAGCTTTTATAGCTTAGTGGTAAAGCGATAAATTGAAGATTTATTTACATGTAGTTCGATTCTCATTAAAGGCAAATATTAATTAATTAATTAATTAATTAAATAAATAAAAACTTAATAATAATTATAGTTATGTATAATATTAATAATATTAATATATTGTATAATATTAAATATAACAATTATATAGATATTTTATATTTTTATAAATATATGTAAATACTAAGATTTGAACTTAGATAATATGCACCTAAAAACATACATTTTACCATTAAATTATATTTACATTAAATAATAATAATAATTATATATAATAATATATACTACTTATAAAATATTCTTAGTCCGAATAAGAAATATATAATATATAATAATAATCATATTATAATAAATAATAATAAAATAATCAGGAGTATTGGAATCTTAATAGACCCTATATATATATCCTATGAGTAGTAATAAATTAATTGAATGATAATATTTAATATATAATAATATAAATGTTAAATAATATAATATTTCTATTTAGGCTACTATATAAATATTATAATAATATAAATGTATATAATATATTATAATAATTAAATAATTAATTTTATTAATTAAGGAGATTAGCTTAATTGGTATAGCATTCGTTTTACACACGAAAGATTATAGGTTCGAACCCTATATTTCCTAAACCTAGATATATATATATATATATAAAATAAATATTATTAATAATAT